TATCTGTAAATCTATTTAATTGGTGTGAACTCTTGCTGCATGACAACTCTTGCTGTATGACAGCTGTTGCCCGGTTAATTGTTAGCCATATCAGTTGATTACAACACATTACGCAGTATTTTGTGCGTAAAAACACTAGCCCACAGATAGCAGTTGGACAGTACTGTGTGTATGATCAACTTAATGAGCCACAAATAAGATGCAAGTGCTAATAAACCGTTCAAAACAGATTTTAAATGTTCAAAAAGCCATGAAAAGTGATGCCTTTCACTGATGCACTACAAAAAATGTTGCATTACGAACACATAAATCACAGTACTGTATTCTGTTCTGCATTTACAAAAATAAAATTTTCATAATGTTCAAAGTTTTAATTAAAAAGTTTAACTACATGGTATCGAACTGGGTATGGAGAATCATGTAATTCTACTGGTATTGGTACCAACTATTAAATTTCTGGTACTGCGTCATCCCTACTCCAAACTCAGCAACGCCTTTACTGAGGCAACCCTTATGAAGTGGAAAAACTAATTGAGCTGAAACTCTTTGCAGTATGGCCCAGTTCCTATATGGCAATGAAAAAGGACCAGTAGTTAGTACTGTTATTTCACACCTCCTGGACTGTGGATCACCTCTCTGCCATGGTTCAATGAGTGTGGATAGACAGAAAGTTGAAGGACATTGTTACAAAATGTCACAATGCAGTGCTGTTAGCTGTTTCTATGGTTCAATTGCATTGAATAATAGAAACCCAAAGACAAAAAATCATTACTTTAGCTAAACAGTATATAAAACCAGTAACGAAAACTATTTGATGTTTATTTAATTAGATTACTTTGGTAAGCAATTAGAGGGGCACCGATCCAAAATTCAGGATCAGTATCGGCACCAAACCATACCTATTTAGATGGATTGGTTATCGGCCATATGTAACTGACCCACAACTAATACTTTATTTAGTTTTCAGCAATCTATGAAAAAGAATATATTTCTTGTTAAAAAGATTTGTACAATCAATTGCATGTTAGCTGTTTTTTGCAGCATTCAAGCTTAACACTAACTCTGCAACTCAGTTTTTTACAAGTGCACAGTGTTTTCTGCCAGCTGTGATGTCATGTGCATACCTTCTGCAGTACAAGGACATCAAATACCATTGTTCAGGTACAGGAATAGGAATCAGATTGGCACCGAAGAAGCGGAATCAGTGCACCTCTATGAACAATATTTAAAGTTTTTATTTAGGTTTTTCATTTTATTTTCAGATCATTTCAGTTTACGGAAATGTTTTAGACAACAATAACCATTCCTTGTGTACTGTAAGAACATGATACACAATTAGCAAGATTCCTATTTTTAATACAACACCCATAGACATGACTTAAGAGCAGATTTGCTCGACAGCACTAATCCAGGTGTGGCTTCAAATACTGCGTTTCATTTACCTTGGAAGTCAGAGCAGGGAATGATGTCACACCCGAGTTAACCATGTTCCATAACAAGTCTGTAAGTCCTTTAGCAGTACCAGTTCTAGCCAGGTTTTTGTTAGCCACTGTTAGCAATACCAGTTGATAACACAGCATTACATGGTATTTTGCAGATACAAATACTACAGCAAAATACCCACAGATAATGGTTAGTACTGTGTGTACGACCAACTTAATTAGACAGAGATAAGACACAAGTGGTAATAAACTAGGGATGGCGAAAACTAAAAAAATTCTTGACCGACCACCGAGCCTCAGTAGCCGGTTGAAACCGGTTAACCGATTAGTTTAAAATATGGTA